TAGGGCTATTACTGCCAAAATGAAGAGCAAAAGGAAGACTCATTACACAAATTTGAGTACCAGAATAGACTTGTGAGATTCATAGCAAATTTATGAAGCTGATAGTATGAGAGAAAATGTTTTTTTTAGGTTTCAAGAGCCTGAACTTCTTAAGTACAAGCATCAATGTTTCTGCCATAAGCAAAATGTTCTGAAGCAGAGAGATGAAGAGCCAGCCTAGCAAAATACTTCATCCCCACCCCTACCAATAAACTAGATAAAAGTTTCTCACACTAAAGAGTTAAAAATGGGTGCCAGGCTCCTACCACTAGCTCATCCTCAAGCCAAGTTGCATGTAGGAGTGAGACCTTAAGCCCCACTTACACCCGGGGACCTGGAGGGCAGCAGCAATGCAGATATGGGAACCATTAGTGTGTCAGCAGTAAAGAAGAAAACATGCTGTGTTACAGCTGGGCAAGAGATAGATAACAGAACCTCTGAGTGTCATAGGGACCAGAATCTGGAAGCTTCTGTGTCCCCAAGAAGGATTAGAGATGGATGAAGGACAACCAGTGACTCAACCGAAGTCAGAATGAGGAAAATGCTAAGTGACCACTGTGGCCCTAATGATCAGGGGCTCTGTGGGCGGCCATTACCATTCCTGTGCCCCTTCCATATGCATTTCCATATGCATTTTCTTTGTATCTCTACTGGCTAACACACTGGCCAAAAAATATTCACTTTGTAAAATAACGTAGCTAGGAAGATGGATCAGTAAAGAGTTACCACGGAACATGAGTTCTGTTTGCACCATTTTCCTTAACTCTCCATGTAACCCCCAAGAACCATTAATAATAAAATAATTCTCCAACTCATATAAACAGACTAGATTGGCAGTTGCCAGGGGTGGGGGATGAGAGGAATGGGGAGATGTTGGACAAAAGGTACAAACTTTCATTTATAAGATGAATAAGTTCGAGAGATCTAATGTACAGCATATTGACCATAATTACAGTTGAAATTTGCTAAGAAAGTAGACTTTAAACATTCTCACTACAGAAAAAAAAAGGTAACTATGTCAGGGGTTGGAGGTGTTAACTAACCTTATTGTGTACTCATTTTGCAGTATATTTGTGTATCAAATCATCACATTGTATACCTTAAACTTACACCATGTGTTATTTACCAGCTATACCTCAATAAAGCTGGGGAAAGACTAATATCACCAAGATCACACACACAAAATAATAATAATAAAATAATTCTAGCACTAGTGCTCTAATGAGAAAACATGAAAAACAAATGACAGGTATAGAGAATTGCAAAATTTTTAGGGCTACAAGGTCTGTGAGTACAAGCTGAGATGAACGTCCAAAGTATTTTTCAATCATTAATACTTTATTACATCAGTACTTGACATATTAATTTCCTCCTAAAATTTTATATAATCAGTACATCATAAATATGTGAACAGTTTCCTTACAAATATAAATATCAGGCAAACCTCACCTATATAAAGCAACTGCTTAACAAACATACGGTATGTATTAAATCTTTATGCCCATCATTCCCACCCCATCCTACACAGCCCCTCCCACATACCCTTAAATTGTGAGTGTATTTTCATCCATGTGGAAGAGTGGCCCATTTTACCAACAAAGCTCCCAGGGAATGGCACTGTATCAGAGTGATTCCATGACTGGTTATCACGTGTGATTGCGTGGTGGTCATCGCACACGTAGACGGTGGACAAAGGGATCCTTCATTCTCCTCCATCCATTTTCAGGGGGTTGGAACATTGGAACATTGAAACATCTCAGGACTATGTTAGGATTCAGAAGCGCTCCAGAAAGTTAATACTACATCTAATACAGTGCATTGAGAATTCCATGCAGACCTCATTAAGAGTCCTATGAAAGTGGAGAGAATTGGGGACCACGCAGGACTTGTCTCAGAGTGCTGGATGAGGTGTGGCATTTCTACAGCTTCCTCAGCTGAGCTGATGTGTAGCGCTCAAGCCACGTGCATAGCGGACGATGGGGGTGGCGCAGGTGCAGCCAACAGTCACCCTCATCTTCTCCAGCTGGAAGGAATGAGAGCAGCCCTGGGCTTCCCTCCGGAGGATCAGGAACTCTTGCTGGATGGGAACGGAGTTCATGGAGCTGTCTTCCTTCCCCTCGGCATTGACGCAGCCTGAGAACCTGCACTGGGCCTCTGCAATCTCAGAGGGGAACCGGTGGGGGTCCCGGGTGATGCTGCAGCAGGAGCAGGCAAAAGCAGATGGTTAGACAAGGGTGGGGAAGATTGACAGAGGAGGAGAGCCCTGCAGCACTGGGAGCTCACTTACAGGGAGGCTGCTCTGAGTAATTCAGGGCTGTCCTTCAGGCTTTGGAACCGAGAGCTTGAATTCATACACCACCCTCCGGCAGGAACTTAACTCCCTAAAGCTCAGTGTCCTCAACTATAAAATGAAGATTCTCCTACACCTCTCTCATAGGATTGTCGAGAACGTTCAGTGATACAAATGCATATGAAATGCCACACTGTAAAATGTTGGCATTCAACAAATATTAGGTCTTTTATTTTTCTTTACATTGTTATTATTTTAATTATTATTCATCTTTTGCTTAAAGGCCGAAAACACTAGTGGGTCTCCCAGTATACAGTCTACAAAACCTGCTGCTTGGGGGGGAAAAAAAAACCCAAAGCCCCATGGGTTTATGAACCCAGTGCCTTCTCTCAGGCTCCCCCTCTGCCAGGAGGCATAAAGCCAATCCAGCCAACTTGCCACCATGCACACTCCCTTCACATGGGAAGGAATGCAGGCAGTCCCAGAAGGACTTCTAATTGCCCCTGGAATCCGTTTTTACTTATAGTTGGAGAATATAGGTGAGTGTTTGACATTCCAAGAGCCTACATGTAAGACAAAATCACAAGACTGTACCCTGAACATTTCCACCCAGCATCCCACGTCCCCAACAGGCCTCTCCCCTCCACGCCGCTCCTTAAAAGACCTAGTGAGTCTGAGTGAATGTCTCGAAACCGACTGCTGTTTCCCACTATATTCCGTACAGAGATGATTGTGTGAGCTGCTTTAAAGAGCCCTCTCTTCCCACACAGAAAGTGTGTCAAGTCCAATCTAGGGCCACATGAAGCAGAGAGCCAATGAGAAGCTGGACACATAATAGTGAGACCTTCGACCACCTGGGAAGACCTCACCCAAAACAGCAAGAAAAATGTGAGCTCCCAGGTAAAATGAGATTTCTGTTCTTAAGAGTAAATGTGAGGGCTTTTAGTGTTTTTTGTTTTGTTTTATTTTTTTTAATTTTCTACAATTAGAATAAATTAACAAATTATTTCAAAAAAGATAAAATGTGAAGCTCTGTTTCCTTTGCACTTACTTGTAATCCCAGGGGGAGTTGGAGCGGTTCTGGAAGTCATGTGCGATGTGAACACCCTGGTTTTGATTGAGGATGTGAATGTCAACCCTTACGCTATTGTCCTCCAGAGGAGGGCAAAGGGCAGCATCCTCTGCTTTGGGGGTTATCTGAGCTGCCGTGTCCTGCAGGAGGGTGAGCCCCAGCATCACCAGCAGCAGGGACTTGACCTGGAAAATAGAGGAAGTTGCAGTTAGTTAGGGACTCTGGTGTCACCTTCTGGCAAGACGGATCTCATGCCTTAGCTGAGCTCAGCATTCCTGGTGGCTTATGGGATTGATGCTTCTCTCTGAACCTCAGATCCTCACCTAAAAATGGGAATGGTCATACATGAAGGTATCAGGGCATGAAACGGAGTGACTGAGCCCTCCACAGTATGAGAACTCCTAACCAGTGGCACAGAAAGAGATCAGGATCTGTGACTGGGTTTAAATATTGACCTGGTCTCCTCACTGAGCCTCTGGTTTCTCTTCTTTTCAACCGGATTATCATACTTGCTTTATAATAATATTCACAGAATTAAAGGAAATGTTCTATGTAAAGCACCTGTACATCTGCCTAACCAAAATAGAGGCTTACTAAATGATAGCTCTTGCTTTTGTTTTCGACCTCATATCCCATGAATCCTCCACAAAATCTTTCCTCCCAGCCATCCCTCCACCTAGAATACACTGCCCACCTGTATCTCTCCAAATCTTACCCTTCCATCAAGGCCCCACTCAGAATGTGGTCTCCTCCAGAAACTGTCCCTAAAGTAGTTCAATTAGAAGTATGTTAACTATCTTTAAATCATAAAGCTTTTATCATCTAGCACTTAATTTATTGCCTGGAAATGCAGTATTTGTGCTCGTGTCAGATCTACACCTATTAGATTGCAAGTTCATGCTGCAGAACGTGTCATAGAATGGATGTTCCATAAATATTTTCTGGATGAATGAAAAAGCGGGTGACTGAATGAATAAACAAAACAATACAATTAAATTAACAATATAGTTAAGCTCAACGCATTGAGAAATTCACTATGCAAAACCAGCAGTAGCAAAGTTCCAATTATCCATTCTAATTGAAAGAAGCAGGGGAACTAATAATGCATAACAGGGACTATGGAAAACTAGTTTAACTCTGGAACATATATTTTTTTATAATTACATTGAAATATTGGTTTATCTGGCATTCCTGTAGAATGCACAAAGGAAGTACTCTGTGAAGAGCTAAATAAGAAAAGGTAAAATTTTCTCCAGCTTCCCAGAGTCATGACAGTGGTTTGCTCCCCGCTCCATCACCACTGACCCTCACTGGGGATAGACAAGGCCCATCACCAACTCTCAAAATAATGCAGAACAAGAGCTAAAGCTGAATTGCTTTCATTCTCTGGACTCAACGTTGTTCAAGCTCATACCTTTCATGATTTAAGTAAGGTAGGAAAGGAGATTAGATATGTTGGTTAAAAGGACTTCCTGTTTTATATTTTGCAGATGCTGAAGGCAAGAAATGATAAAAGAAAAAGGTTACGATGTCAACTTGCTATACCAAGGTAGCTGATCCTAAAAAGAAGCTGAAAGCAATGTTGACTCAGATAAGCCTGAATGAGGCTGATGTGCCTCCAGATAATCAGCAGTCATCTCCTTTCACCTTCCATAACCATTCATGCATCTAACAACTCTTTCTCATCTCTATAAGTGTGGTGATTCAGGACGTGGGCCCTGGAATCAGATGTCCTGGGTCCATAACTCAGTTCCAGGACTCTTACTAGCTGCGACTCAGGTTCCTCCACCAGAAAATGTGAAGGTGAAATGATATTATGACCCATATAAAGCATGAAGAGCAGGGCCAGCACGTGGTAAATATTCAGTGCAGGTGACTAGTACTAAGTCGACATGGTGCTGATGATACACAGTGGGCAGGAAAGACGTGAAACTTGCCCTCATGCGCCTTCTGTCTAGATATAGCACTATGAAGTTTCAAAGTCAAAGGATGCCTGCTTAGACAAGAGGGTCCTTAAAAAGCTTCCCAAATCTATCGATCACTTCCTTAGGTTCTTTATGTAAGCTCCGCCTTTGTGTTTGTCTCTTTTCTGTATCATATTCACTAAATCCTTTTTAATTTTCATTATCAAAGCTTTAAAGTCCCTGTACCTCGAGGTTGTATGAGTTAGCAAAAATTGCTATGCTTCTAGTATGTCGTTGTTCCAGACATTTATATTCTTAAAGCAATTGAAAAAACACTTTCACATCTCTTTACCCATTGCATTCTCACAACTGCTTTGTAGGGTAGGTCATGTTATTATTAATAATCCTGATTAGATAGGTGAAGAAGTTGTGTCTGAGAGGCAACAAATCACTTGGTTGGGGTTGCCAGCCTGCTAATGCCAGTCTGGGGACTCGAACGTAGGTGTCAGTGGTCAGTGCTATTGCTATTGAAGATCCTTATTATTATTAGCAACATATTATTAGCCACTCACAGGTGTTTCATCTTACCTTTGCCTCACTGGAGGAGCCAAGTATTTTAAGCAGTGTGACAGCTGCATCAGAACTGCATGAGCATTGTAGGTCACATGGCCCTTTATTTAGGAAATCAGATCATGTCTGCAAAATGTCTAGTTTGTGTCATGAGGCTGTTGATCTGAAACGGTAGATTTTAGTGGTTATGTAATACAGAGCAGGGGCTCTCTGTAGGCCCTTGCTCATTCTTCAGAATTATATATACAACACTTGTTCTCTGAGAGGTTGAGAAATCTTGCCTCTGAACCATTCAAGGAGAAGAATGCTGTCCTGGGAGCCGGTAAACTTAGATTCATGTCCCGGCTATGTGAGTACAGTACCCAGTGATGCTGAATCTCTGAACTTAATTGATCTGTTGCTCATCTGTATAATAGGGCAAGTAGTTTCTAACCTACTTCACTGAGTTGATGAGAGTCTCAGAGGTAAAAATAATAATATTATTAATATTAGTATATTACACTTATTGAATGTTTTCTCAATCTTTATCTGCTGTTACATTAAAATGGCCAGGTTAATTAAAACTACACATGCATAGATCTGCTGTTTCAGAGTAGAGATTTAGTCATTTATAATGATAGCAATTAATCTCCCCACCGAAATTCCATGAGGGAGAAACCATTAGTATCCCCCTATACTGATAAGGGGAATAATAAAGCACAGTGTGGTTAAGTAACTTACCCCAAATCCCACATTTAGTAAGTGGTGGAGCCAGGTCTGACTCCAAAGCCTATGCCCCCTAAATGCTGCACTTTGCTGCATTTCTCATTATCTCTAAAACAATCTGTAAATATAACATAGTATTATCCTCACCATAGCCATGACTTTATAAATGAAATCCAAGCTCTTTTAAATTGCATGGCTTATAAACTGAGAATAAAAGAGGGTGATTTAAATTTTAAAAAGAGTGTTATGAGTGATTTCCCAAGCAGTGTTTTCATGCTTCCTCTGTATTCAACCCTTCCCAGGTCTTACCTGACTAGTGCCAGGCAAGATACTAGATGCAATGGGGGTAGGTTTCCATCACACTCACATCTCTCTTTCCTCCAAGAGGAAAAAAAAACAAGGCAGAAAATAATCAGCTATGAGAAACATGGCAAATTTCCCTCCTCTAGGAGATGTTCAGAGTTCATCACTGGGTGGTTTCACTTCCTCCATCTAGGGCACTCCACCCCTACCTTTAGTCTTGATGGAATCATGAAACCACTTGGGGCCCCAGTGTCTTTGGTTAAAATATGTATGTGCACATCCTAAAAGGCTGGTAAGCTCCCACATGAGATTAGAGTTTAAGCTAAGCTAACTCTATAGTGGTGGCCACAGGAGAGTGTGTGCCCAGTTTGTGACACCAAGACCTATGCAAGCTAACACCAACTATGCAGAAGCCACCAGGTGAAACTATATTTTTCACCTCATTTTAACGTCTAGCTATCTTTTTTTTTATTTTTCTCTACCAGTAGCAGTCAAAATGAAAGTCAGCTTTGTTTTTTAAAGAAATTACTCCCCAAAAGATACCAATCAAGCCTAATTCCTTAGAAATCTGCTTTTCTGAAATCCTAGGGATGACCATACCTAAAGAGAAATTATTACTACTCACCATGGCTGTGTTCTGCAGGGTGGCCATTGTCGTTTTGCTCTGGTTGCCTGTTTTGTGCCGTAAGCTCTTTCGGTGTATGTGTCACCCTGGGTATGCCTGTGAGAGTACCTGTCAGCTTTATAGCAATCACTGTCCTTGTTTTGATTGACCTGCTTACCATCTGAAGATGTGGTTTTCCCAGAGTAACTGACGAATGTAGTTTTTTGGGTTTTTTTTCTATTCCACTTCCTGAAGAGGAATCAAAGGGGGACCTTAAAAAAGGATGACGGAAAAAAGGACAAAGGCTTCCTTTTCTTCTACCCCACTTCCACCCCCACTGCCCTCAAATCACAGCAGAAATCTTAACTAATTTACTTCAGAGATGAACCAAGGTACAGATTGCTGTCATGATCTTTTCTTCCACAAATGGCTAAGAACCCTTGTCACGCACCATATGTTCTACTTTCCAGTCACGCACTATGAACCGTGATTTAAGTGGGAGATAAGTCATCCTTAGAGGAGCCTTGGTATTAAATGAGAGGCCTCTCTCTAGCAACATTTTATGAATGGAAAACAAAACCAAAGAAACGAAAGACATCAATGAGCTATTCCAAAATTATATCCTCAGGTAGTCTCGTAGTCAACCTAAACTAATTCTATTTTAACCCTATGGTCAGACACCTACTGATGCTTTAAATAATCATTATTCATAAAACATGTGGTAACCACTGTCTTGCCTATCTCTGATTGACGACGTGTTTTTTTTTTAACTAAAAGGGATCAGCAAGTACAGCCTTTAATGCTCCAATGTGTAATTTTAAATAACCTGCAAAAAGTTAATTTGTGTCAGTTAAGTTCAGGTCAATAAATATTTATTAAGTAAATGCTATATGTCAGGCATTGTACCTTAGAAATACACAGACATTTCTGAAATAACAGTACCTTGTTTTTTTGTATCTCCAAGAAGATTAGGTAAAATTACACATGCATTTTTTAAAAGGCAAGGCACATTCTAGCAGGACACAGTTATTTCCATCTATCACGTGTTTGAACAACTTTTCTCCATTTTCTTATCTGAAAAAAATAAAGGGAAAGCAGCTCTTAGGTTCATTGAAAGACCCTCCAAGTTTAATTAAAATTCTGTGACTATGGGCCTTTCATCCACATTTCTACTCTCCATGCCTGTGGAGTCTTCTCTGCACCCCATCTCTGGAACAATACGAAGTTTAACTCCTATGAGAAGACTTCCTTGAATCATCTCTCAGGCATCACACCCTTCCACATCACCTCTCTCTGCTCATATTTGGTTTATCTTGCACTTGCTTAAATGTTTTACAATGAGTCTCTGGGGTCTTCATGGACTTGGGGTAACTATAGTCTCCCCAATGATCTCTACCAGTCTCCTTCTCTAAATAGTATATCCCCAACTATATGACCTAAATTAAAGCAGTGTATTTTTATGCATACACAGGTTCAAGACAAATCCCCTACCCAATCCCTTCTAGCTAGATTGAAACCCTTAAGTTCACCTTACAGAGAATTTTTAAGACCTCACCATATATGTCCTTTCACATACTCAGTGAAGCTACCACCATGAAATCAAGAGCCATGTTTTCATGTATCACTCATGCTACCAAAGCAATATGTGCAATAGACCCATAAATGCATATAAAATTGAGTGGTTGAGTCATTCGCTTTCTCCAGTGTTCTCTTACCCACTCAGAGTCATACCTCAATCCATAGAATACTACACCAGCTCTCTTGAAAGAAGGAAAAAGTAAATCACCTTGAATTAAAAGTGCTTAACTTAATATAAGAAGATTATCTGGATTGCTGGGAAGGATGGCCTTTTGTGTAAGAAGGAAGCAATATTGACATTGTACATCCAGTGGTCACAGTGTTTTCTCCTATCAAGGTAAAAATGATTAATTTATCAGGATGTCAAACTAGTAGCCAGCTTTTACCAAGTTTGAACTGAACCAACAGATTCAGATCAGTATTTCATCTGACATTTATTGAACACTTTCATACTGTAAATCATGTGCTAATACTGGGGACATAATAATAAATATATGGTGAGCACATAGCTGACTATGGTGAAGCCCTTCACTAACTGGCCCTGTTCACCCGTGACCCAAGCTGTTACCATCTTTAAGGTTTTCCATAATGCAAGTGGAGCCAGCATTCAATGTACTGACAGCTGGGACACTCTAAAATTCAGAAAGAGACCCCACAGAAAGAGACAGGACAAGACTCTGCATTTCCAAGAATGAGTTACACACAGCCTCACATGAGGTAAAATATTATAGCTGGTCAAACATCCAAGTCAGCAAGACCTTTTAATGGCTGACCATGTGCCCTACTTTTAATGCCTGAACATGTAGTTCTACTACATGTTTGCTGGAGCTATTATAGGTAATAGACTGTACTAATATAGACTCTACATTAATGAGTTTAAAATCTTATTATGGAAAGAAAGCAAACACACATATATTAACAAAAAAATAATGACATGAGATTGTGGGAGATATTGATTACATGTACACATCTAGCTTTATAAATCCAATCTTCAAGAGTTTTTATATTCACTCAGAAAAAGGTAAATCTAGGGCTGACCGAGTGGCTCAGTTGGTTAAGAGTTGGCTTAAGAGTGTGAGCTCTGAGCAACAGGGCCGCCGGTTTGATTCCCACATGGGCCAGTGACGCTGCGCTCGAGCTGAGCTGTCGCTGAGCTGCCAACAGGTGGCAGGATGACTCAGCTGGTGTAACAACAAGATTGCCTGTTAGATGATGGGCTATGCCTACCCACAACTAAGACTGAACTCAGCACCTTGAGCTGAGCTGCCGCCCAGATGGCTCAGTGGATAGGGCGTGTGCTCTTAACAACAAGGCTTCTGGTTAGACTCCTGCATGGGATGGTGGCTACACCCACCCACAACTAAGATTGAGCTCAGCACCTTGAGCTCAGAGGCCACGAGCTGCCGACTGGAAGCCAGATGGCGACTGGCGCCCTCTACAACGAAGACTGAAGAACAACAACTTGGCTGGTCTCCTTCCCCAATTCCCCAACACTGTTTCCCTCCCCCAATTCCCCAATAAAATCTTTAAAGAAAAAAAAAAGATGAATCTAATCAAAGTATGCAGCCACAACCTAACAGTATATAATGTAGATATACAAACTGATGCCTAGAAGTGAGGTTCTATCATAGCAAAAGGCTAAAATAGTGGCGTTGTCAACAGAGGTAATCTGGAAGGCTATGGTGACAATGAAATTGTAGCCTAGATAGATGATGACCCACATTATGCAATAGCAAAACATTTGGCAAAATTATTGCCTGAAATAATTTAAGAGACAGATATTGTACCTAGAAGTACAAGAGCTCTAGAGAAAAAGGCTGGAAAACAGAATGTTAGCTGTGTGCGTTGGATGCTAGCGACTGCATTTAACAAGGAAATACAAGAAAGAGATGAACTCAGGAAGAAGCCGGCAGGTTTGCAAACAAAAATGAAAGAGAATGAAGACAGTCCAGAATTCAGTCTTGCAAGGCTGAAAATAAAAAAAAACAATTTTTATCCTCCAAAAGCAAAAGATAAGATTGAAAAAGGCTTTGAGGGAGAAATTCCCAGTTAAACTTTTCAACCAAATGAATTTCCCATGGGCACGAATCAAGACTGAGCATCTGGTACATTCTTTTTTAATAGAATAAAAAGACCCAGAATAAAGAGTGTAAGGGTATAGTTCTAGTAAACTACCATTAAATTGAGAGAGTTATGGGAATGAAAAGCAAAGAAATAGAGATTTTTCTGGGAAGTATGCCACAAAAAGAACCGATTTAGATAAGAAGTTAACTAAGTCTTTGAGAGCGCTTTTCAAATTAATCATGAACCAACCCTAAATCCCCTAACCATCTAGAAGCAGAAACTAAGGGGCCGAGGAAGGTATATTTGCCAGTACTATTTCAGATGTGACCAAAGAGATAATTGGGGGAAAAATACCTCCCAGGGGTTGAAGCCAGAAATCACAAAGAGTCTCTGGGAGTTGGGCCCCTCTTGAAAAGCAGAATCTGGGTCTGACCAAACAACATTCCACATGCCCCAGACCCCAACAGCCAGCCAAGCAGGATTTCTAAGTTGCTATGGACCAAAACTACTATGCATCTCCCATTTGTTCTTTTTCCAAATGGAAGTGTTTATTGCTATCTTCCTGCTCTATCCTACCCACTCAGAGCTAACGCAGAGCGCTATAGTATACCATTTAGAAATTCTAGACTTTGAGTTAGTTACTCTGATGGGATGGGACTTTTGGGTGCTCTCCCTTAGGGAGAAGGTGAAGATATGATATATGCAAGGAGAGTGAACCAAATATTTGGTGAAGAGAAGGATGGACTATGGTAGACACCTAATAATCACAAAAATGCTGTTCTCTACTTCCAGGAACCTGGAGGATGACACTTCTTTGCCTCCTTGCTATGGGACTTGCTTCGACCAAAGAAATGTGCGTGGAAGTGAAGTGTTTCACTTCTAAGCAGAAGAACCAAAAACCCATTTGTCCTTCTCATATCCTCTCCTCTGCTGCCTCCAGGATTATGGTAACATGTGGGGAAATGATGGCATAGTAAGAGAATCTGCATCTCTGCCTGAGTACAAAGAGGTGAGCCTCCCTGCTGACCTATTTTGGACATGTTAGCATGATCAATGTGTTCTCGTAAAACACTGCGATTCAGAGATTGTTACTGTCGCAAATCCTAGTCAAAACTGACTGATAAGAGACATTAAATGAGTTCACAGGCTTTTCTGTTTATTTGTACTTTTTATCAGAGCTCTGACTCCTCATTAAAATAGTCAATTAAACAATGTTATCCTCTACTCAGTTTAAAGAATAGTTATAAAGAATTAAATACCAAAAAAAATGAACTGAGGCAAGCAATCATTCACTATCTTATTCACTAAACAAAAGCTATTAGTATATAATTTATTTTAACCCCAGCCTTATCTCCAAATGACATTAAAATGCTTCTTTCTAATTTCCCTGAACACTTATTTATGTTAGGGTC